GTTGGGCAAGGGGATTCTTTGAGGAACTTTGTGAATCTCCTCATTCACATCGACGGACAGATTGTCACCAGGGCTGCAAGAAGGGGAATACAGTGTTAAGGTTTTGAGTGACCATTTACTTAGATTTCAGTCCTACAAAACTGACTTTACCTTGGACGTTTTGCCTATATGTTGTTGAGGGGAGAGATTGTGGTTCAGGTGGTGGTGTTTCTGGTAGAGGTGGCAGCCAATTTTCAGTATGCATTTCTTCTCTTATGTCCTGTATTTTTTTTTTGTTTCGGCTGGCATCTTTTTCCACGCTGGATGGTAGCTAGGCCGTCTGGGAACACCTCTAGAAAATATGGGATTTTGTTCCACAAAGGATAAAAATGTCCCGCTCTCCAACGTCGGCCCAGGGCGTAAGTGGCCAAGACTTTCCGAAAAAGTGTCCCGCCACTTTTTGATATGTTGTTCCCCAGGTCCAATAACGCATTTCTGGATGGTTAATTTTTGGTCCATTTTTCGGTCGTGCCTCGGGTACCGCGCTCTGAGCCCTTTTCAGAGGCCTGCAGCTTCGTAACCCTGGTGGAACAAAATCCGGCGACCACGCTGGATGGTAGCTAGGCCGTCTGGGAACACCTCGGGAAAATATGGAATTTTGTTCCAGCAAGAATAAAAATGTCCCGCCCTCCAAAGTCGGCCCAGGGCGCAAGTGGCCAAGACTTTTCGCGCTCTGAGCCCTTTTCAGAGGGCTGCAGCTTTGTAACCTTGGTGGAACAAAATCCAGGGACCACGCTGGATGGTAGCTAGGCCGTCTAGGAACACCTCGGGAAAATATGGGATTTTGTTCCACCAGGTCCAATAACGCGTTTCTGGATTGTTAATTTTTAGTCCTTTTTCTAGAAAAAATTGAAAATTTTGATTAAGTTTTTTTTTCTGGCCAACTTTTTTTCTGGCCAACTTCAGGCAGGTAGAATACTGTCAGTCTGGAAGTGGGGACAGTTTCTCGCTCTGCCCAGGGTGACTTTTTTAGCAGATGATACTTCCAGTATCACTGCTTGTACAACACCTACTTAAACTCACATTAAGCAAATATTAAGCATTTTTAACCACATATTAAGCTTTTAGAGGGAGAGAAGGAGGGATAGCTATAAGCTACAGACACACCAGAAAGAAGACAACCCCAGAAAATCTAGAAGACATTTATGATGGGCAATTATACAAAGAATTACTTGGATTTCTTAGTGAGAGTGAGTTGAATTTTACAATGATGTTGAATACGGATGGTGTGCCTGTCTTCAAGTCCTCACAAAAATCCCTCTGGCCTATCTTCTTGAATGTGATGGAACTGCCCCCTAAATATCGTTTTATAAAAGAGTTCACCTTGATTGCTGGCTTGTGGTTTGGTTACAAGCCAGAAGCCAATATGATATTGGATCCACTTGTACAATCTTTTAACTGTGCTAAAACAGGTTTTCATGTGAGCCCTCCTAGGAGGAGTAACTCCTGTATCAGCAAAGGTATTGTTCTCGCAGCCACCACTGATCTTCCCGCAAAAATAATGCTCCTGGGTATGACAAGTTACTCTGGTGCATTCGGCTGCCAAATCTGTAAAATAAAAGGGAGAAGTGTTCAGATCACCAAAAAACAAAGAGAGAAAATAAGGAAGAAAACTGATGAGAACAACGAGGAAAAGCTCTCTTCAGTTTGGGTTTATCCGTACTCAGATGAGCTGGATTTGAGAAGCCACCAAGAGACAAAGGATTTAGGAAAGAAAGCATATCAGCTATTGTTAGCTGCAGGAAATGTCAAAATAGATAATCTTGGTGTGAAATTTCCAAGTGCCATCACACAAATAATGCATGATGTAATACGTGGATTTGCAGTTGATGACCTCCATACTTTATATCTTGGTGTAACCAAAACCCTGATAAAGTTGCTGTTTGATTCTAAACACTCTTCTGAACCATATTCACTCCGTAAATATTTACATTTAGTTGATAAACGGTTACTACAGATAAAACTTCCTAATGTGTTTGAAAGATGCATAAGGAAATTAGATGGGGAATTTAGCTATTAGTAGTAAGTAACCCCCACTGTAGCGGGCGGCCATCTTTACCCCCCATTGTTGCGGCAGCCATTGTGAATTTAGGGGTGTCAGAAAATACCTCCCATTGTTGCGGGGTGTTAACCTAAACCTAAATGGTGATCTTATCGGGGCCTAACCCCGAACCTAAGGTGTGTGACGGCGGTCTTATCAGGGGCTACCTAGGGCCTAACCTATGGGCGTAAGTGACGGGGTGGTCTTATCAGGTGGTAACTCGTACCTAAGTGATCGAGGATTCACATGGCGTCGTATCAGGGCCTAACCTAAGGTAACTTAAGTAGAGCATGTGTGATCGAGGATCGTATGTCAGGGTGGCCGAGTGGTTAAGGCAGCCGTGTTTAATGACCAGTGCGTATGAAGAGAGTCTCGAGAGGTAAGTATTTTTTTAAAAAAAGATTTTCTTTGGAGTGTAATCTATGCTTTGTCCTTGCTGCCTCTTGTCTTTTCCGCAGGTGAAACGGAAAAGTTGAAGTGGGGAACGAACGGGAATCAAACCCGCGCCATCCGCATGGAGGACAGCGCCTTAGCCCACGCGGCCGGCGCGCTGCCGCTAGGTTATGCGCGCAGCGGAGCCAGGTCGAGCCGGCCGGGCGGCAGCGTGGCGTGGGGGGTCGCTACCCCTTCCACCCGCCCCGCGTCCGTCTATCCGCCGCCGCCGCCCCGAGTGATGAGCGGTAAGTGTCCCGAACATACCCTCGCTGAAAATGGTCACGTATCGTGATTGGTCGGCTGGAACCTTCGGTTTCGGAACACGCCCTTCCCGCGCCGTGCCCGGCACGGCCGTGCGTTGCGCCTCATTGCCTGTCCTACGCTCGCCGGCATCAGTTAGCCTAGGTCAATCTGTGTCTCCGCCTTCTCTGCCACGATGGACCATGTATTAGACGTGAACCTCAGCCACGATGAGTGGCTTGAGATGGAGTGGTTGTTTGTGAGTACCATGAATTGTGCGATAGGGACCCTGTGTTATAATTAGTTTATTTGTAATTTCGTCGTGTCGGCTTGTGCGCGGAGCCAATTGTCGCGTTTTCTTTGGTTAGAATAGATAACATGTGTCCAGTCCAAATGTGATTCGAAGGGGTGTTAGTGCTGTGCTAGCGACGTGAGCCCTGTTTATCCCTTCAAAGATTTAACGCGTTAGAACGGTTCTACTGGTCGTGGGAAAGTTTCGCGCCGGCTGCACAGGCCGTGATTCCCGGAATCGTTGTGCGCGGGAAGGTGTGAGGTGGGGGGGGG